AATAGGAAGCTGGCTTTCAACCCAGGTTAACACTAACTTTAGCAGATGTTGTACGTTATGATTATCACAGCTGGAAAACAGAGGGAAGATTCACATGAGAGTAGGGAGGAGGAAAGGAGAGAGCGCCTATGGACCCTCCAAGAGTTTGTTAATTATAAGCTTCTGGATGCTCCCAATTTTTCTTCAGCTTCAGGAGAGCTGCCTTGGCAATGGGCTCTCAAGTCCTGTTTAAGATCTGTTCAAGCTGTTGCAGAGTTTCTTCAAAATTCCAGGATGATTCATTGATGGCAATTTAATACAAAGTATTCTCTGAAGGTTTTAAGTGGTAACAAATATTTTTATGATCCTGAGAGGGCTTGGGTAGATTTTAACTTTGCTTCTGGGTTCTGCTAAAATATAAACAAAGAAACTGTATGAATTATTAAGGACAGTTAACAGTTGTCTGATGAGGAAAAGAAGTAAAGCGTTGTAATCAAACAGCATGAGACACAAGCTTAGGGTTCCATTCTGTATATCACAAAAATGTCCCATTTGGTTTCCTCTACATATACAAATGGCCATAAAAGTCAAATTGACAGTTTTCATTATGGAATAATGATGGGTTTGTAATCCCTCTGAGAAGGCAGAGCATACAAATTGCTGACAACATCTGTGCAAGCAAAAATTATGCTCCTTTTGCCAATTGGTATAGGCAATGAACTTTTGGACTGAGGTTAATGAGAGATCAAGATAAGGTATTGTTGGCAATGCTGCTAAGTTTTAATGACCTTTATGATCATTGAACAATCTACTGTTAGTGGCAATACCCACAGAGGTATTTTTCCTAGCTGACCACGTAGAGGTATATCAGCTGTCCCTGAAAAAGTAAAGTTGGTTTCACATTGGAGTTCTGGGTGGGAGATACACGGGAGAGCAAAGAAGAATACAAGACATTTAAGGGAGCAGATGATTAGAGACGAGCTGAATGAAGCTAGTATAATTAATATTTTTTTAAATAAATTGGGCGTATATTGCTTCATTTTATTGCCCTGCCCTCCATTCTCAAGTGCACACGCGCGCAAGTGTGTGAGGGGTGGGGGGGGGGGGAGAGGGGAAGAGCACAGATCTGAAGTTCTTAAGGGCTGCAATGATAAATCTCAGTTATGCTTATTGAATATTTGAGCATCTTTCCCCCCGTTTTCTTTTTGAGATCAATCTGATTAATGAATTCTTTAAAGGAGAGGGATTTGAAAAGGCTGAACAGTCCAAGATCTTTGATGCACATGAAATTAGAAAAGTAAAAGTTATCCGTCTCCTATATTGTTTTTTGTACTTCAGAGCATCACCTGTGGAAATAGTCTGAAGCACGACTGTAATGAGATGGAATGGAGAGGAGTGCAGAAAACACCATAAGTCAATGGTTCATTCTCACATGAAATACGGAGTGCCATATTGGCAACCTCATCTCAGGAAAGATATTGCAGGGCAGATGGAATGATTAAGAGCATAGTTGCTGAAAGGAGTAAAGGTACCTCTTTTAGAAAGGAGATTAGGTTGAAAAGAGAAGCAATAAAATTGTCCAAAATAAGGACCAGAGAATGCTGTTCTCTCAGGAGTAGATGATTTGAACATTAGAAAGGAAAACAGTATATATATTTTTTACCTTAAGAGATTAGCATTATCAAGAAATTACTTTACATATATTTAAAGGGCTAATAGGCATTGTAATGTTGTGCTAATAGTCCACAGATTGCCTTCTTTGAAATATTTCCTATGGAATGTATATATAAATGTCAATATTTTCATTACACAATCAAATAAATGGCATGGGACTTTGTGGAGATTCTTCAAACAAGTGCAAGTAGAAGCTGCTTTGGCCTTCTCCTTCAATATGGAAAGGTCACTGAATAAATAGGCACAGGTGTTGCAGGCGATGATGCTTGCACACATTCCCAAGTCTTCTCTCCAATTTTAGTGTTCCTGTGAGTTGAGGCTTTAAGGCTACTTATCTGTTAGGATGCAGGTCACTGGGATTCCAGCAGCCCTCTGAACCCTTACTTAAGGCATGAGAACTGCTGAGACCAAGATGGCTTCTGTACTTCTTTTGCCCTGCGAGGACTTAGATGGCCAGTTTTGGCCAAGTAGTTTGCACCTGCTCACAGGAAATGAGGCATCGCTGGGATATAATGTATCCTGGCAGTGCCACCCTCTTCTTTGCCCACTCCCTGGGATGACTTCACCCAGTGCCAGCTTTGAGGTTGGGAAGGGCCCTACAAATCTGGAATACCAGCTCTAATGACAGAGAATGTTCCCAAGGAGGAAAATGAAACATCAAAATTTCCTATAGCTGGCCAGACGGCATCTGCCTGCTGCAGGACTGTAGCTTTAATCCCTTAAAAACAAAACAGTATGCATTGATTTATATATTAATTCTAATCAACCCAGTAATGATGTTCTCTTATTCACAGGGACTTGATCAATGTCCTTGAATCTCAAATAAAGACACAGAGGTCACAAGCTGGAACAGAAATAGCTGTGACTAAAATTATTGGTTTAAAACGGTCTAGGGTCCAGTTGAACAAGAAATCAGTTACTCAGTCACAGGTTGTTACAAAGTAACGGTTCCATTCACAGAACAAAGGCACAGCAAAAATCATCAACTTTAGTATAAGATAACTGTGATGTACTTTACAATCACCAAGATAAAAATGTAATAAATTAAAACAGGCAAACTACAGTATATGATTCAATAGATTAGGATACAGGATCTAAAATATAAAGGATAGTAAATGAGAATATAAAAATTAAAATATATGGCATATATATAAGCTAGAGAATGGACAACACAAGTTGAATTTAAATGGAAAAATCCTTTTATGTTACTTTGCAACTAAAGAAGAAGGGTTACATTTCCCGGGGTTACATTTAGCGGTGTGGAATTCCTATTGAACAAGTGGTCAGTCCTACAAGGACAATGGAAGTAGTGGAGGGAAGGTGATGCTTTTCGACACTGTTCAATAACCTGCAATCCAAGAAAGCTACAATTTGGTGTAACACCTCAATATGGCAATAGTTGTATTGTTATTCAGGAATCGTTCGTTGCACAATTGTATGCTTGCGTATAAGAAACTTACATGAACACATTTGCACAATTCTGTTCCTGAGCGCTCCAAAGTAAGCTCCAGAAGTGCCATTCCATTCAATGGCACTTTCCCCAAGTAGCCTACTCATTTTAGCCTAAATTACTATGTACTCATACATATTTTTATGTACAAATATTTCCTTTTGGAAGTTTGGAATCTACTCTGGGCTTCAGTGTACAGTGTTGGTATAATTTTACCAACCCTATAAATAAATATGTAATTTCTAGTTTGTAAATCAGCCTCTGAGCTACTTGAAAATGCATTTCAAGTACTCCATTAAACATTAATGGATTTAGGGACCTCTATTCAATTTTAGTATGTTTTCCTGCATTCAGTACTCTAAATTAATTTGGGGTATAATATCTGTTATAGAGATTCTGTAGTGCAATAGATGAATTTTCATCCGTTCCTTCGACTGTGTATTTGTTTAACAAATGTAATGGACTGAAGCCATCCCCAGGGCACAGAAGGGTGGAGGCAACCAAATCGTTATGAGAATGTGTTGATGTGGAACTGCTCAGAAACAATGCTTGTATTTTCTGGATAGCAGATAAGGTTGAACTGTCATCTGGCACTAAATTGCTCATGATGGTGGAGCAAGGCAGGAAATGTGCATGGCCCATGTAATACCGTAGAGCTGCCAGCCAGAACACAGGCAGGGAAGATTTCCTGGGGACTTTTTATTGATTTAGGAGAACCAAGTAGGCAGAGGATGTTGGAACCAAGGGAGCAATGCTCAGCCATCCTTCTCTGATGAACCTCACCCCCCCGCTAGATCAAGCTTGCTACATTACCCACAAGAGCAATGGAAGGCACAATCTTAGATTGGGGGGGGGGCACAACCCACGCATGTCCCAGCTAGCATGACTGGCTGGGGAATACTGGACTTGTAGGACTTTTTTCTGTCTGAAGATGCATAGAGTTGTACCCTAAATAATTGAAATCCACAAGCAACTCTGTGCTTCCCTAAAATAAGAAAGCTGTCCACCTTTATTCCCAATACATAAAAAGGAGGAAAAGAAAAGAATTAACCCATGACCTATTCAGTAAGATTATTAAATAAATATCAGTGTTGGAAATAATGACTTGGAAAAATAACTACTTAGGCAAGAAAACAAAAGTCTATTAGAGATGCTGGTGAAGGTGAGCTTGGCCTAGTTGTGAAGATGAGCTTGGCCAATCTAGATATGACTAGATATTACCGAGTACTTATAATATTTTTCAAAGACATGTTGAATCTTGTTACATTCTAGAATTTTTCTCCAGACTTCAAGCTAAAGAAGAATTTTGGCTTGCTAGCCAACCCCATCCCAGTTCACCAAATGACAGCTTTCCACATGCAGGAAATATTCCACCTGGAATTGAAAGGCAACTCAGAAATAACCAAATAACTTAATTGTGAGGCCTGATAAACTCCTGTGACTCTTCGGCTGCAAATGGCACTTTTAGGGTTCAAGTGGCTTACATGGCCAATTTTAGCTGAGTTAGGCAATTTCCTAATTTCCTCTGCAAGCCATAATGAATCTGTTCATGTCTAAAGGCTGTTGCTAGAGGAAATGTGAAAATAAATCAATAAATAAGGAAAACAAAATTTTGATTGCAATGAACATGGGAGAGACCTGTGAAGAGTTCAACAGCTTACTTAGCAAAGTAATGGCTGTGTGGGAAATACAGCTGATGCATTAAGTTATGACCAAGGTGGTAATGATTTCTTTTTAGTCCTTGACATAGGTACTTTTAGAAATCACATAAGATGCCAGGCCTGGGTAGAGTTTATTAAGGCTCGTTGCATTTCTAATCGGCAAAGCTGTAAGCTGGGTGACAAATTCGGATTCTTTGTGTTCTTATTATGTTTGTTTCTTTATTTATTTCCTTCAGACACACTATGAAAATGGAGAGTACATTATCCGGCAAGGGGCTCGAGGGGACACGTTCTTCATAATCAGCAAAGGCAAGGTAAGCTCTTGTGGCACCCTTTTTAAAGCAAATGTCATAAGCAATACATGGATATTCAGAAGATACAACTACAGCTATTGCTTTTTTTTTGTGAAGTGCCAGTGGGGGATATGATGTTTCACATTTAATTAGATGTTGTGACTTCATGTTGGCAATGGAGACTGGACTTTTCAGTTTAAAACATGCATCCTAATTGGACATCATGTATACTTTTTTCCCCTTGCAGGGATCAGATGGCTTTATAGCTGCTAAAATTAATTTGTATCTTACATTTTTTCACCTGTAGAATGAATGACTCCTGTGAACAGTCCTTAGATCTGTACAGCAATGTAAGGTCATTGATTATGGTACAGCAAGACAGCTGTGCTTAACTAGGCTTGTTACATCTGTTTTCACATATCAGTTTAGACCCATACATATCACCACCTGCTTTTGAAATGCAACATTTTAAAAACTTGCTCTGTGTCGAAATGCTGATAGACAGTGCAGGCTAAAGATGCCAGTATTCTCAGATCTCCCACTTGAGCTCTGACATTGAATTCTGAGCTCCAAATTTCTCTAACTTAGGTTAGATTCCAAATTAAATTAAACTTACTAAACTTATTTTTGATGGTGTGGCAGGAAAATTCTGTAGCATTTGGGCTAGCTGACAAGAGCTTCTTGTTCCAAGTCTAGCTCGCTTGGATAACATTCATGGTTATCTTCTAGCACTATTCAGTGGCTTGGTTTTCAGTTTAACAGTTTTAAATAGTCTGCAGCATATCCTTCTGATGTCTCATCTCCTCACCAATGTTCTTCTCAGCCTTCTGTATTCATTTGATTACTTAGTCCTGTGGGTCTTCTGTCTCAGCAATTTAGACTGCTTGGAACCATGATAAGGCATGCTGTTTCAGTGGTGGTGGTCCCTTAGCTGAAGTAATTTTTCAACGGTATTTTCTTAGCCCTTTCCACAGTCCTGTTTTGTTATCAGGGTCAGAATTTTAGGAAATGCAAAATCCAAGTGATTAATAATTGATTTAATCTGTGCTGAAATTCTCTATTACAATTTACCTAGATGGAATTGTGTGTTCTACGTTGATTTTATTGCTTTCTTGTATTATCTTAACAATGTTACTGAGTTCACTTTTATTTTTATCAAATGTAATATGTTTTGGAAAGGTCACATATCTTTGAACCAAATGTACTTTTAAACAACTGAACACCATATAAATGCTTTATGCGGCCTTGATGGAGTTTGGGCCAAGGACTTACAAAAATGCAGTACTTGGAAAATACCCCAAATCTGTCTCCCATAATGTGCAGCTAGTTACGCACATAACTTGCGGCATGGGTTACTCATTCCACACGCCTCGATCAAGCTGAGTGTGTTGTTTATACAGGTATATAATGCTTTGATATTTTCAGTGACAATAAACATTGCTTTTTCCTAAATGCTTAGAGTTCTAGACTTAACTTATTGTCAGAAATACTCCCATCATTCCACTATTATTGTGCTCATCTTTCAGATGGAATCTGTCATTGGAAGATACTGGGCCAAAGGGCACCCCAAGGGTTAATTACTGAGCTGAAATTTGAACAGAGAACTCTTTTGGCTAATAGCTCTCTTTTATCTTGTATACTGTACCCTTTCAAAGTCAGCATGCCTGATAATTTTTATCAGTATTTTTCTCTTCACTCAAACTAGGTAAATGTTACTCGTGAAGATTCGCCTGGGGAAGATCCAATATTTCTCCGTACTTTAGGAAAAGGAGATTGGTTTGGAGAAAAAGCACTCCAGGGGTAAGCATTAAACCTTACCTAGATATACAAATTAGACTGGATGGAAAAAGAAACAGACTTTTCTAGCAAGAATGACTCTGCCTTTTTTCATTCAGCTTGCAGAATGATTGCATATCAATTACAAGTCTTCAAAATAATAATGATGCACTCTATCAAGAGAAAAATATACATTAAAATGTTCTATACGTCTTTCCTTTTCTCTAATAATTATAATTATTTCTAATAATATTTCTATACCACCCAATAGCCAAAGTGATACAATAAGTATACCAACAGAGATACAATAAGGCACAATATAAATTTCCAGTGTACAGATTTAAAACAGTTTAAAATCCAATATAAAAAACAGTTTAGATGTTTAAAATACTTTCAGTAAAACTAGACCTAATTAAAACAGCCAACTTAACCCATTAGATGTCAGGCTATTTTCCTTCTTATCTTCCCTGAGTCAATCTTTAGAACATTATACCAAGTCAAGAAATACACAGCAGCTTGGTAGGGGAGGTTAAAAAAAGAAAAGTGACATTTTTTTCAGGCTTGGTGCAATCACTAAGCTAGACTGGTGAGCACTCAGTGCTGGTGGGGCAGTTCCCCAGTGTGAGCTGGGGGTCATGCCTGTTGCAGCATTATGCACAGTTATGACTGCTGAATAGACAGGCACCCTTAGTGTGCCAGGCACATTAGCTAGTGCCTGGCCCTCCCACAAAGTCACGCTTGCAGGGTGCTGAGATACACCCCCCCCCCGTCTCCATCTCTGCCTCTCATCATGTACAAGGGTGGGAATTGCCTTTGCTTACCTCATACTGGGGGACAGCAGTGGTGGGTATACATGAAAAACGAGCTTAGTAGCCATGGTTACCATCTTTTTTGAAATGATTGTAGATAAACAAAAGTGTAATACCTTTTCTGTCGCTATGATTTCAGAACTTTCATTGCAAGTTTGTGGACTCATATAAAACTAATTCCTACTGAACTAAGTAGGACTATTTCCTAAGTAGGAATGCAATGAAGCCCCACTGAATTAAATGCAACAGGCACCTAGGTTAAATCTTAATAGGATCTGCTATGCATATTTGTATGGGAGGGATCAGGTACATTCATTTTGAAATTCACAAAGATCAGATTCCTCAGGTATCCCTAATTCTAAGTTTATGCATTAGTGTGTACTAAATGAAGAGTTTTATTGTACAAGGTCATCATCACTTAGCTGAAATTACTCATTCTTCCCATTATTTAAAACAAAATAGACTTTATTACATTAACTTAAAAATTGGTACCATATTAAGAGAGCAGAACAAGGTAATGCATTTCAGTGAAAGACTAGATGTGTATAAATAAAGGATGGGTTACATTAAAATAAGTTAATTGGCAAGGCAGCACAAGTATACATTAAAGTATACTACTCAGAAATACAAATAATGTTTGTAATGAAGGTGAGCTGGTGGCATCATTTGTCCAGCTTGCTCCATTTGTGGCTGGGCCAGTTCAGCTGTGCAAATGTTTTTTCTAAGCAAATTTCTGAGCTCCTAACTTTGGTCTGAACAAGATTGAAATTTGGCTAAATTGCAGAGATATGACTACCTGTTAATGGAAAGTGGTGGCAAAAAGCAATGCAAGGTAAGTAGCCAGCGTGTTATTTTCAGAGAATGGATTGTTTTCCCACCTGAATTTTAGCATTTCAGTTTCAAAGATTGTTTGGCATTTTAACTGCATGTTGTACATTGATCTTCATATTAAGAAAGACCTTCAACCAGTGCTGTGATCAGAAGATCTTAATTTATCGGTAGTGCTGACTTGGGATTTAAAACCACGGCCACTGTAGTAGTGTGGCTTCTTCCTGTATCACACAAACAATGTGAGGTCTGGAGCATGGATGGGGATTTATTTTCCACAAGAACTTACCAAAATCCTTAGATGTCTTCATTAGCAGGGTAGAATGTTTTGCTATTTTAAAAATGAAAATTTGGGGCAAAATGAAACCTGGCAGATTTAGCCTTGCAGGCTCAAAGCTTTGAGTTTATAGCTTTTAAAACTATGTCTTTGAAGTCATGTTTGTGATGCTGAATAAGGACTGCTGCCCCTTTTTCTCCTCATTTAAGAGCTGTATGATGGGTAGGTACAATGTGGTCTTTTCTATGCTAGAAAAAGCCCATTGAATTTAGTTGATGCAGAGGAGTGAGAATTTCATTTCAATCCACTTTTGATAAGAATTCCCAAATTCACAAATGTCTTTCTATTCATCATGGAGGGGCCTTGTGACTTAAACTGTGTGGATGTGAGAAATGGAGAAATGGATTCAGCCGTTCCTAGCAATGCTTCAGGTCCTCCTGAAGTTCTGGAAAAGCTTTCTGAGACTGTGATTTTGCTCTGAAGTTGTCTTTTTTGTCACCACACCACTGTTTTGCTGCAGCTGCAGCAGAAACGGGTACATGGCACCTATGGGACCCAGGTAGCTCATCCTCGTGTATGTGGTGTTTCCCACCTGGAACTCCTTTCACACTAAGCTGGATGGAGAAAACTATATGAAGAGTTCTGTTTATGCAGCATGTGCTACATTCGAGCCACATCTGTGAAATGTTTGTGTGAATCTGAACTGAACACACACACATATATAGATCTGTACAAAAACAGTACAGGAATCTGTCAGTGAAAGAAACTATTGGCTGTTTCAGGCCTATCACATTTCTTTTGGTTGTTTGATGAAATAGTATGTGATTTCTGTGCATAATGCAAACTGTGGGGGATGATCCAGCCTAAAGTAAGTACCTTTAAGTCATAATAATGCCAGTTCAAACTCAGTTTGAAATCACTGTGAACAAATGCTTAGCTTTGCTTGAATCATTCCCATAATCTGAGAGACTTACTGAATCCATACTGCACTTCTTCAGATAATCAAGAGAAAATATTCCCTACTGAACCATAAAAATACAAATTGTGCAAATTATTTTCAGTATCTGTCAGGTATGCAAAGGCCATGCAGTTTATGAAATAGGTGTTTCAGCAGGGTGACCTGATATTTAACATGACAGCAAGGGGTGCTGCTGCTGGTGGTATTCTTTTCCACCAGTTGTATTGATATTTCTATTACAATTCTACTTCACACTCATTTTTGTAGATAACGTCATCTTTTGTAGATAACAGATGAGCTATTGACAAAATGCCCTACAGGAATTATGGTGGATATTTTGCTACATTGGTAGTCAACATGGGACATATTCTGGGGATTTATAAAGGCTTAACCAGCATCCCATGTATAAAACAAACATGTCCCTTTATTGCATGGTGACAGTTACACTGATGAACCTCTCTAATTATTCTACAATCTTGGCCTTTGCAGTTACAGAGACAATATTTTCACTAGGTATAAGCAAATGCCTCAATCCTGGTTTTTTTGGTGGGTGGGGGTTGGGGGGTTTAGAGCAAATGTCATGCTTTTGTAAAGATGTTCGCCAAAGAATCCCTTCCTTTGTTTTGATTCACACCTTTTTCCATGGTGCTTTTCCTCACAGAGCTGCTGCATCAGCACTTTCTTTTCTCAGCCTCCCTGACATCCTTTTCCTATCAGGGCTTAGAAGTTACAAATGCGATGGGGCAAACTAAGCCAGTTACTTCCCTGTCCCAGAATAGCCTGAGTTAGCAGATTTCTAAGACAAGCTGGGACATCATTCCTTTAAATTGAGTGTTGAGAAGCAATCTAGACAAAATAGTTCACCTGACAAGTAAGAGAGTGCCCAGCATGGACAAAGAAAGTCAAGGTTTGCAGAAAAACAACAAACAAAAATCAGGGGAAGGGTAGAGTGCCACCCAATGAAATGCTGAATTTTGGTGAAAAAAGACATAAAACCGGTGTGCGTGTGTGTTGTAGGGAGATAATCAATTGGTACGTTATGGATTCAGATGATTGGATTGAAACTTCAACAGAGGCATTCCATTTTGTCGCAGGTCTCATTTGCTATTAATACTTTCTAGGTGTCTTGCCCAGGAACAGCTAGACCTGTCCTAGAGTAAGGGCAGCGGTAATTCTTTCCTTTTGCCTGGTGATTGCTCATGTGTGTTGATTGAGTTCCAATATTACTGGTGGTTTGCTTGTTCCTTGTGACCCTTTCCTAGCATGGTCTTCTGCTCTACTCTAGTGCCTTTCCCATGTCTTCAAGGTCAGAGTTCCACTTGCCTCAAAAGTTGGTTTCTAAGCCAAACTGTGGTGGTTCCGGAGTACCTTAGACCTAATAATGCCTAATGTACACTGAGCCTCCCAATATTTTCCTCCCGTACCTGTTGAATCAGAACCACCTTTCCCTCTTGAACGACTTTGCAGGCAGCAAAGCTTGGAAGTATGCAGAACCCAAAACTCTTACAGCAAAACTCAACTTTCTTACAGCAGACAGAAAAGAAGCTAAAAATGGGTACCCCATTTCCAAATTAGGGAATTAGTTTGCTGAGTTTATTTTATTATGTGCCTTTATATACCACCCTAGTAGCCCAGAGTTGGCAACTTAGCCGTGGAAGTTATGAAGCCTTCCTGCATTTGTAGTTTGGATCATTACAGTCAATCAAATCTGCTCGAGATGGCCCATCTGCCCAAGTGACCGAAACAAGGAGCTAGAATGCCATTGAATAGCATCCGCCTCAAAACATCCTTTGCAAGATCACTTGCGATCCTACAAAGTCATGTCCAGCTGCATTCCCACTCCCCCACCACTAGCCCCTTAGACACTAAGCAGAAGAACAGGGAGATGCTGTGCGTCTACATGTGTGTGTTAGTGGTGGCTGTGTGACAAATGCCATGAGAATATGTAGAGCTGTCCTTGAATATGGTCCGGATACTTCAGTTGGTTCAGAACAAAGCAGTCGGATTGCTAGCAGGGACTGGCAGACACAGAAACATAATGCCGGTGCTGTACCATCTGCACTGGCTTTCAGTTGAAGTCCAGGCCTGATTTAAGGTGCAAGTGATGAATTCTAATGCCCTAAATGTCTTAGGATCTGGATATTTCAAGGAG